TGCTTTTAAATTTGATGACATTCACACTGTACAAGCATAGTCAATTTCTATGTTTTGTATGTGATTGTAAAGAGCTGCTTTTAATTATTTGAAGTATTCATATATGCCTATTATATCAAATTTGTTAATTGCTTTTTAATTATCTCAGATTTTCTATATCCTTACTGAATATGTTGTGGTTATTTGTTGTATTACTTATCAAAAGAATCTTTTAAAAATATATTGATTTGTGGTACGTTTGTTTATCCTTGAAGTTGTTAATTTTGCTCACATACTTTGAAGTGATCTTATTTGGTGGGTACAAATTGGGAATTGTTCTGTCTTCCTGGGAGAAACTTTTTCAAAACGTATTTTTTTGCCCTAAAGTCCATTTTGTATGATATTTTTGGTAACCATAGTTTTCTTTTGGTTGGTGTATATCTATTTCCATTCTTTTAATTTTAAGTCTTAGGCATCTGTTGTAAACAGTGTGTTTCTGATTTTGCTTTCTATCCAGTCTGGGTATTAAGTAACATTATCTTTTTTTTTTTTTTTAACATAAAGGATTTTGGTTGATCTGAAAAATGAAGTTTGGTATCAGAAATGTCATGACCCTGTGTGTAAAGCACAAAACTTCAAATCTGATCGTGAGTTATTAATTTTTATGTTTACCACCACAAAGTAAAAAATTAGATATCTATATAAAAGTTTTACTATCTTTTTGACTCAGGTTTTCCATTACCTGCTGAAGTGTGTCTCCTGTTTCTTCTCAAAGATGTAAGTGCAGCTTTTAGTTCTTCTCCTAGCTAATTAGTTATTGGTACAACTGTATAAATGAGCTATGAGTAGTGTCCAAATGTGTCCAGCTTTTAAACACACTGTTCGGTACCTTGTTTTCACTTAGGAATACAGTAAAACCTTGGATTGCGAATAACTTGGTTTGCGAGTGTTCTGCAAGATGAGCAAACATTTCTAATACATTTTAACTTGGAAAACGAGTGATGTCTTGCAATACGAGTAGTTTCTTTCCGGAACAAATTATGCTCAAAAACCAATGTATTACTGTATATTGCAGTGATTGTCTCATCTCAGCACATACCTGATAATATGCACCCCATTCTTTTTCACTGCTGCATAAGAAATTGTATAGATATCTAGTTAACCAGTCCTAGATACTTATGTTTTGCTTTACAAAAAGTATACCAAAATACTCATCTTTGTGTTTATATCTGTAGAAAGAATTTCTAGAAGTAGCGTTGTCAAGGGGTATATCCATTTTTAATTTTGGTACATATTACCAGATTGCCAAGTCAACATTTTTCCTTTAAAAACTTTTACTTGCCCAAATAATTCACATTCATTGTAGAAAAAACAAAAATCAAAAGGGGGAAAAATCATCCTCACTCATAATTTGACCATTCAGAGAGATAACTGATGTAAATGTTTGGTATGTAGCTTCAAGAATTTATGCTTATGTATGCTGATTAATATATATATATGTGTGTGTGTATTATGTTAGTCATAGTATACATACTTTGTAGGCTTTTTTTCCTACTTAAACTATCACAAATATTTTCAGTAATACATATTACTAAATTGTTCTCCATAAAAATGATAGGAAATTAAACTTCAGTTTTGAGAGCACCTACTACCCACTACCCTATACTTTTGCCAACATTACTTATTTTTACCTTTTAACTGTTACCCCCTGGTAGGCAAAAAGTGTTATTTCAGTTGTTTTAATTTACATTTCTTAATTAATGAAGTTGAACTTTTTCAGAATTATTATGTTTTTCTATTATAGATTGCCTGTAACTATAACTGTACTTTTCTATGTGGTCTTAGTATTTTACAAGAAGTTTTTATTAAGTACTCTTTTGTCATGTTATCGTCTAGACTCCAGATTTGGAGTTTTAACGTAGCAGCAATATTTGAATTAATGAATTCATTCCCATGGCGACTATCTTAGAGACAATATGCAGCATATTCATTTTAATATCTGTTGAACTGGTCTTAATACCTTAATTCAATATAGATTAATACAGTGAAATCATTGCATTCTGACTAACCTGTACTTTCTTCCTATTCCATTCTCCTTTATCCTCTTTGGAACTAAAGGAAGAAGAGTTTACAACAGACGAAACAACGAACAATGAAACAAAGAATCCTCATAAGCTCTCAAAAGGTGTATTTTCTGACTGGGATAGTGGCATTGATGATACTTATTTTCTAGAAGCTACTGAAGATGCTGAATTAGCAGAAGCTGCAGCGAACAGTCTGCTCAATTATAATAGTGGAATGGATGAAATTCCTGATGAACTAATTATAGAAGTATTATAAGAGTAGCTAATTAACTATGGACACTTACAGAACCAAACTGTTATTTGCCTGAAGACAGATTTAATAACAAACATATTAAACTTTAGTAATTTATTATATCAACTAAGTTTTATCTCTTTGTGTTTCAATTCTTGTTTTTTATTGACATAAACCAGTTATTGAAAATTAGCTTCAGTGTACTTAAATTCAGTAGAAATCTTTTTTTTTTAAAGATTTTTATTGGGGAATTGAGGGATGGGAACAGCGCTGGGGAATTGGGGGAAGGGGAACAGACAAGTTGCTGTCGTTTTG